ATGTATATTCATATATGTATATATATGTATATTCATATATGTATATATATGTATATTCATATATGTATATATATGTATATTCATATATGTATATATATGCATGTGTGTGTGTACATAATCGTATGTACAAAGTTCTTTACTAAAGTTTTCTATTCACTGTGAAAAAGATGATGAAACAACTGACCTTGATGCACGGTCTCCCTGTCCAAAATCTTCTCAATCCTCCTGAAGAATCCGGGGGTTTCAGAGGCGCAGGGAACCAGTGCAAGGTAGGCTTTTATTCGCACCTCGACGTTGTCATATTCATCTTCTAAAATCTGAAAGGCAGATTGTCGTGCAGCATTCATATTTGATTCTTATTAAAACGTATGTCCGCTATTTTCACTAGTAATCGTTAGCATGACCGGTTATACAGCTACTTCAAGAGGAAATTAACACAGGGGGCGGGGATAAGAACTTTTTGACGCAATTGTACCATCACTATTCTCCTCAAAGATTGCTCTCCTCTGTGAATGGTACATATGCACTGAAAACGGAGAGTATGTAGGCCTACCTGCCATGGACTGTCCGTGCGGACGCATCCCAGCCGGCGGTAGGTTTGCAGAGCGGCCGTGCGGACATCGGATGACAGTGCTCTGTTCTGTAAGGGTTGGAGGAGAAGCGTGTGATTTTGTGAGAGGGATCAGGGTATGTCTACGTCAGGGTCTAAGTCTTTGTACATACTGTAATATTTTTTCCCCAGAAATCGATGCGGCAATGGGTAATGTTAAGTTATTCGAGACTTGTTCTGTACAGACTTATATTACTACGGAATTGTGAGTATCTAAAAGGTTCATGAATAACGTTCAGAGTGGGCCGTCGCGAGGAGCCCACCAAGGACCCACCACGTAGCACTTCTCCGGGAAAGCCTCGAACGGGAGCAGGCCGGCGTTGCCCAGCGCCCGCAGCACCACCTTCACCTCCCGCTGCCGGTCCCTCGTCTCGCCGTAGCCGCAGGTGTCGCCAACCTTCTCCTCGACGTACGCGAGGAAGGGCCTGGAATGCGAGGGGCTGTTTGTTACGAAGGGGAGGGGGGGATGCTGCCGAACGAGATGTTCACAAACGCATGCAAAAGTAAGCTTATTACATATACAATGTATATTATATACCTTACGGTTTTCGTTTTCAAACTACTTCTCGAGACAAAATTTGGTATTCTACTTATCACACCCACCAAGAAAGAATAACAATGTTATCATTTCCAAAATCTGCTCGCGGCGTCTCTCCGCATCACAGACCATTCGGACATAACTACAGAAACCACACTCGTACTCACTGCGCCTGCGAGCGGCACTGGTGGGGGGCGTCGTGGCAGAGGCGATGCACCATGCTCGACGCCGCCAGGAGGACGCTGCTGGGGACGTCGGTGTAGGAGTTCGCGAGATCCTGCAAGGGAGAGAATGAATGTTTTTTTTTCTGTACGAATAGCGTGAAAGAGGAACAACTAAATCAGGATTCTGATATTTTTGCCTATAAGATAAGAAAAGAAAAAATAAAGGAAAGAAAGAAAAAAGAAAGAAAAAGAAAAGAAAAGAAAGGAAAAGAAAGAAAAAAGAAAGAAAAAGAAAAGAAAAGAAAAGAAAAAAAAGAAAATAAAAGAAAAAAAAGAAAAGAAAAGAAAGGAAAAGAAAGAAAAGAAAAGAAAAGAAAAGAAAAAAAGAAAATAAAAGAAAAAAGAAAAGAAAAAGAAAAGAAAAGAAAAGAAAAGAAAAAAAAAAGAAAAGGAAAGAAAAGAAAAAGAAAAAAAAAAAAAAATATATATATATATATATATATATATATATATATATATATATATATATATACACACACACACACACACATACACACACACACACACACACACACACACACACACACATCAACATGCACAACAGACGTCCGACCCTACCATCACGTGCTGGAGGGAAAGTGGGTCCGCGTGGGCGTGGAAGTGGACGCCCGCCAGCCACGTCTTGAGGCGGCTGTCGGGCAGGGCGGCCGTGTCCTCCTGGGCGAGGGTCACCACCAGCCGGATGCACTGCTCGCGTTCACAGGAGGTCAGGGCGTCGAGGAAGAACTCTCTGGGTGAGATAAAGCGTGATGGTGATGGTAGTGTTGATGATGATAATTAAGATAATAATGATAATATTGGTGACATTGGTAAAATAACAGCGATGGTAATGATGATGATGGTGATAAAAAATAGCGATGACGATACTGATGATGATGAAGAAGATAATAGCGATGGTGATGATGATAATGATATATGATGATAATAGAGATAACAGATAGTGATAGTGATGATAATATTGTTGATGGTGATTATAATAAAAATAATAGCGATGGTGATACTAAAGATAGTGATGATAATATTGTTGATGGTGATTATGATAAAAATAATAGCGATGGTGATGATACTAAATATAGTGATGATGATATTGTTGATGGTGATAATGATAAAAATAATAGCGATGATTATATGAATAATGGTGAGAAAAATAAAGACAATGGCGATGATGATAACGATTATGCTAATGAAGATAACAATGATGGTGTTACTGATGATGATAAGAATGCTATCGGTTGCTGTTGTGTTAATCTTATTCTTATCATTATCACTATCATTACTACTATTCTCATTATCATAAAAATTTTCATTATTATAATTATCAATATTGTTAATGTTACTGTCATCATCATCATGACCATTATCATCAGCAGCATCACCAACATCATCATCATCACCATCATTATCATCCCCATCATCACCACCATCATCATGACCATCATCACCATCACAACTATCATCACCATCATCATGACCATCATCATCACCATCATGACCATCATCACTAACACCATCATCATCCTCACCATCATCACTAACACCATCATCATCATCACCATCATCAACATCATCATCACCATCATCATTATCACCTGTCTGACTCACCTGTAATCAGCTTTGCCTCGGTATTCCTCCCACAGCATCTCCAGCTGATCACTCTGCAGACGCCCCATGAGATTTACCAGTCCGGCGAAGGCGAAGGGGCGCTGCTCCTGTAGCTCAGCGTCCTTGAGGGAAGCCGCCAGTAACTCGAGTGTCTGTTCCAGCTGGGCCTTCACCGCATCCTGATTTCGAGGTCAAGGAAGAGGTGAGACGTCGAGGAGGACTTCGAATGGGTGAGGTCGGTTCGAGTGTGTAATACGGTGGCTTGTTTTGTTTTTTCTAAGTTTTTTTGTTTTATTGGGGGATAAATATTTCTGTTTTTGCGTTTAAGGTGTCCCGGTCTTGTTTCTTTAAATATTAAAGCCGTATTTTTGTCGTGTGTTTTTTTTTTGGGGGGGGGGGGAGGCTAAAATCAAGTCTGGTTTATCTTGTGACTCAATATTCAAATAAAGTCTAATTTGTATGGCCACTTAATTTCATCTTCATTTCATCTCTCTCTCTCTCTCTCTCTCTCTCTCTCTTCTCTCTCTCTCTCTCTCTCTCTCTCTCTCTCTCTCTCTCTCTCTCTCTCTTCTCTCTCTCTCTCTCTCTCTCTCTCTCTCTCTCTCTCTCTCTCTCTCTCTCTCTCTCTCTCTCTCTCTCTCTCTCTCTCTCTCTCTCTCTCTCTCTCTCTCTCTCTCTCTCTCTCTCTCTCTCTCTCTCTCTCTCTCTCTCTCTCTCTCTCTCTCTCTCCCCCTCTTTCTCTCTTTCTCTCTTTATCTCTTTCTCTCTATCTCTCTTTCTCTCTATCTATCTATCTATCTATCTCCTTCTCTCTATCTATCTATCTATCTCCCTCTCTCTATCTATCTATCTATCTCCTTCCCTCTTTCTCTCTATCTATCTATCAATCTCTCTCTCTCACTCACTCTCTCTCTCTCTCTCTCTCTCTCTCTCTCTCTCTCTCTCTCTCTCTCTCTCTCTCTCTCTCTCTCTCTCTCTCTCTCTCTCTCTCCATTCCTCTCTCCCTCCCTGTCTCTCACTCCTTCCCTCCCTCCTTACCTCCTTCCCTATCCCTCTCTCCCCTCTCCCTCTCTCTCCCTCTCCCTCTCTCTCCCTTTCCCTCTCTCTCCCTCTCCCTCCCTCCCTCCCCTTCCTACCTCCCTCTCCCTACCTACCTCCCTCTCCCTACCTCCCTCCCTCTCTCTCACTTCTTAACAATTTTCCACCCAAATACCTGATCTAATTGAGGCTCAGACAAGGAGGCGCGGCTGTCCAAGTTCATCCTCAGCGACTCCTTTCTCGTTAGTGGCTCATCTGAAAGGTTTAGTTTTCGACGTGATAACTGAGACAACTACTGCAGGATGAAATGATAAATGATAAATGCAGGATAATATGATAACTGCGAGATATGATAATAACTGTAGGATATGATGACAACTGCAGGATAATGTAATGAATGCAGGATAATATGGAAACTACAGGATACCATATCCACCTCATAACATAAGAATTACAAGATAACGTAATACCTGCGGGGTGAAAAAAAAATAAAGTTGACCAGTTAAAACAAAACCAAAAAAAAAAGAAAAAAGAGATAAATAAACACGGCACAGCCAACTCACCGAGAGAGAAGAAACCCTCCTGGATGTCCGAACGAGCGCCGAGGACATCCTGCAGCTCGAGCCTTGTAGAGAGAAGCACAGAAGCCAAGGGCGAGGTGCTTCCTTCTACGTGGAGCTCCTCTGTGCACTCCGCTCGCTCCCACACCGCGTTGCCGAGGACTAGCTGACAAGACTGAGTTCTGCTGCAAAATTTGAAATATTTTTTTTTCTTTTATCGAAAATAAAAAAAGAATTGGTTCGTTGCGTATTAGTGGTGGTCAGGGAGGTGTGTGGGGGAGAGGGAGGGAGGGAGAAGGGGGAGGGAGGTAGAAGGAGGAAGGAGGGAGAGGGGAGGAGGAGAGGGTAAATGTGAGAGAGGAGGGAGGGAGGGGAGACGATGGGGAGAGAGGAAAGGAAGGAGAGGGAGAGGGAGGAGGGAAAGATAGAGGGAGGTAGGGGGAGAGGAAGGGAGGGGAAGGGAAGAGGAGAGGGGGAAGGAAGGAAAAGGAAGGGGAGAGAGGGATGAGGTTGAGACGGGAGAGGAGAGGGAAAAATAGACAGAAGAAGAATGAGAGGGAGAAAGGAAGAAGGAGAGAGGAAGAAGGAAAGGGAGAGGGAGAGGGAGATAGAAGGAGAAAGAAGGGGAAAGCGAGAGGGAAGAAGATGAAGAGGGAGTAAGGAAAGGGATAGAGAGACGTTAATGGTGATTTATGAAGGAAAAAAACGGAAAGCTGCAATTTGTTTTATCATCTTCATAATAGCATACTTAATAACATATCAGATTTGCACCATTCCACTTGAAGGTATATCCGATTTTTTTTTTTTTTATCTTGCTTAATACTTACTTTAGAGGAACAAGTGTTATATATAAGTTATTCTACAAACAGTTTCCTACAAATTATGTTCTATACATTTTCTTCGTAAGTACCTCAGCTTTGATGCTAAAGGTGCGCAAAGATCGTACCATTTTTTTTCTATTTTGCCTCATTAAGTAACATCGCCCGTAAAGTTATTCTCAATGATATATTCAAACATTTTTCAAATTCTTGCATAAACTGTAGTGTTTCTTTTTTATCAGAGATTATGAACGAGGACTGTTAACCTGTTATTAGAGCTTAAATTTATCTGGATAATGGCTTCATCAGGTTAATTGCCTCGTGAAGGCGTACTTTCTGAGGGAGTGACTCGTGAGGTTAAGCAAAAGTGCAAGAACGTTGATAGACTAAAGTATTAGACAGAAAGATGGAAAACCTTTTCAGTTAGAAGGAATGAAAAGTGTCAAAGTGCATGAAAAAAATGTAAGGAAATGTATACGGAAAGGATTAAGTTCTGAAGTTTTTTTTTTCAATCAGTAAATTTTACGTCTGCAGAACCCAAACTATTTCTGAGATGTCAAGCCTCGGATTTTTATTTTCTTCATGACTGTCTATTTTGTGGTGAAGATGCAGCTGATAGGATTTATAAAGTGATCGTGCTTTTACTGACACGGTTCGCGCATGAGCAACGTAGAATGGTAATCTTATAAATGGCGAGGAATGACCAGTGAGTGGATAATGGATTTCAGTGGTCTCAAATATGGATTTGTTATTTTCCCCTTCTCTTTCTCCCTTGAAGCAGTAGTAGCATCAGTGACAGTAATATTAATTTTGTATTTTGCTTTTTACCTGATTGAGATCTCAAAGCTCATTTTTTTGATGACTTATATATAATTAAGTGAAACACGAAAGAAAATTGTCAATCTTCTCGATTTTCGTCATGAGAAGTAAAAGCATGATTCATTGTCTCTGTAACTATAGAAATTTTGGGGCGACAACGTTTTTTTTTCCCATGGGACAGTGTGTAAAATTTCTTACTACATTTTGCAGAAACTAAATCAACTACTCTACATATACGGGTATCATCTATCTTACCCCCAGTCATGTTTTCTCACTCACTCTCACAACTGTGTCTTTAATATGAAGAGTCTCTACACTTTGCAGTTTCACAATCACTTACATGTTTTTTTGGTTTGTTTTCATAAAACTCATCAGCTGCATCTTCACTGCAAAATAGACGGTCGAGAAGAAAAAATCAAAAGAAAATCAAAATCCGAGTTTTAACGTTTCAGGAATAGTTTGGGTTCTGTAGAGGTAAAATGTATGTCTTGGTTCAAATGCTTCATCACTACTTCCTTTCGTATACAATTTCCTACAGTTTTCATGCACTTTGACACTTTTCTGTCCTCCTAACTGAGAAATTGTTCCATCTTTCCATTTAATACTTTCGTCTATCAACATCCTTGCACTTTTTGCTTAATCTCACGAGTCACTTCCTTGGACAATACGCCTTTACAGATAAGGGATTTCCATGATGAAGACATTTTCTAGATAATATCAAGCTCTAATAACAGGTTAACAGTCCTCGTTCATATTATCCGATTAAAAGAAAACAATATCATTAATGCAGTAACTTGAGAAATGCTTGGATATATCGTTTACAATAACTTTATGGACGATATTCCATGACGAGGTAAAAAAATAAAAAATAAATAGTACGATCTTTGCACACCTTTATCATCAAAATCGAGCAACATACAAAAAAATGAATTGAACATGTTTTGTAGGAAAGTGTTTGTAAAATAACTGTTATATAACACTTTTTCCTGCGGCGGTGAAGGGGTGCAAAACTGATATGTTATTCAGTACGCTATTATGAAAGTGATCAAATAAATTGCATCTTTCTTATTTTTTTTCCTTCGTCAGCCTTTTTTTCGTCTGGCTTGATATAAATAAATAAATATATATATATATATATATATATATATATATATATATATATATATATATATATATATATACATACACACACACACACACACACACACACACACACACACACACACACACACACACACACACATATATACAGAGAGAGAGAGAGAGAGAGAGAGAGAGAGACAGACAGACA